GTGAAATGCGCCACTTCCGGTATTTTGCCGGTTAGTCGACGCCAGCAAAATGAAGTCGAGGATTTTAAAAAATCGAATAGTCGAATAAAATCGACGAATCGCGACAGCCCTAATATTTAGGCAAATTAAGAAAAATGTACACATCTCCATTCTGTTCAAAAGGTTTCACCCCCGGCTCTTAATGCATGGTTTTTCCTTGCATTCCTATATATATATATATATATATATATATACATACATGCATACATACATACACATATATATATATATATTTATATATATATATATATACACACACACACACATACATACATGTACTTAAAAGTTCTAAAGTTTACTTAACATTTTTAAAGATATATTTGCTTGAGTTGCAAATTTAACGTGAAGTCTTGTTTTTTGAAAAAGTTAACAAAATTGATTGCGTTTATGCTTAAAACAAGAACAAACATATTTTAGTGGAGTATGAATTTTTTTTTCATACCCATTGTATCTTCATTTAAGAATCTTTAGATTCTTAGATTAGATTTGCACTGGAAAACAAGACAAAAATACAGAGGAAGGACATCAATTTATTGCAATGTGATCAGAAGGTACAGAAGTGGTTGTAGCTATTTTTATTTGTCAAATGAATTAATAAGTAATGGAGATCTATTGGAAGTTATATTTTCAAACTTTGAAGCATTGCTAAGACGTTTACATTTTGATTTATTCTTTACATTTTCTTTACTTGGTCTTAAATTTAACTTCATAAAACCTGCAGAAACTCTGGATTGGAAGTACAGGATGTTTTTTGTAGGATGTAAATAGTGTATAATTCAAAAATAAACAAACAGAAAAAAAAAATTCAGGAATCATTACTTTGCTGAGTCATGTTTAAGACAGAAACCACTCTTTAAAGTTTCTGAATGTGTGTGTGTGCAGGAGAAACCGGTTCGAGTCGCAGTAGCCGAAATGCCAGTGTGGAGAGAGGACCTGGCAGAGACAGACAGTCGGATACATCAGACAGCGAGACGACAGACATCAGGAGGATCAACCATCAGCCTGGTACCAGAGATGGCAGATATGACCCCAACAGGTGAGTCAGGACAGGTGAAACGGTCAGTCCAGGCTTGTTTAATTAATTCAACATGAGATATTTTGGCAGGGACATGTATCGTCCTGTTTGTTAATCTTATAATGGCTTGTTTTGCAGATTCCGTCTGCACTATGAGAAGGAGAGCAAGGAGGAAGTGGAGAAGAGGAAGAAAATAGCGATGGAGAAAATCCTGAAGCCGGTGGCAGAAAAGCAACTAGAGATTGATATGACCCAGATCTACCCAGAAGAGAAAGGTATTTATGCTACTGTGTAACTTAAAGTGGTGACGGAGTGTTATGATAATAAACTTTGCATTTGAGGGAATTGTTTTCACAAAACTAGCCGAAATGTCACCTTCACAATTACACCATCAGATGCTGCAGCATCTGTGACAAAAAAAAAAAGAAAGAGTGCATAGTGTGACTTTTCTGTCAAATAGATGAGTCAATGACTTGTCAAAAATGCTGCATCTGTTTACATCCATTTGCTGTAAATGAGAAAGAGAGATGTTTGCGATATTAAAATTCTGTGCACTTTTGCCTAAACAATTGAAAAATCAAACACTAAATACACACAGACTACTGGTCAAAATTTTTGGCGTTGATACAATTTTTTTAATGTTTATTAAATAAGTCTTATATGCTCACCAAGGTTGCATTTGATTAAAAATACAGAGAAATTTGTAATTTTGTGAAATATTATTCCAATTTAAAATAACTTTTTTTCTATTTTAAAGATCATTATTTGGTGTATTTGGTGTAACAGAATATGTTGACATGCTTTAATGTTCAAAAAACACATAATTTTTCAAATACTGTACATTATTGTAGTTTATCTATGCCCCGCCTCTCTCAAACACTTGGTTTTCAACAAAGCCCCCTCCTTTGACAAGCACAGTCTGCTCTGATTGGCCAGTTGACCCAGTGCATTGTGATTGGCTGAACACCACAAACATGCGTCGGAAATGTAATGCCCCTTACCATAATCGCGAGCTTCAGCTTTCAACATAAATGTAAAGACAGTAAATAATGTCCTTAGTTTTACCATCAGTTCAAGCCCAAAAGGGGAACAGAGTCGTGTGACAGACACAGTGATGATGCTCATATGTATTTGCAGTACACAAGCCGCGATTAAGAAAGCTGACTCCACTGTGATGTGACCTCTCTCTGTGTCTCTCACGCACACACACACACACACACACACAACGTGATACTCTACATGGGGCAAAACTCCGTATTTGAACAGTCAATAGCAAATACTTAAACTGTTAAGAAAACATACTTACAGTAGCTGATTCAGAATAAGCGCCAGATTGTCATAGCAAAGTCGGAACTGACCCATTTTTTTTAGAAGTAGCCTTTGCACAGCCAGCCGTGTAGGCTACTCAGGTTCACAAAACTGTCGTCCATAAAATGCGTTGCACAAATTCGAACATCTGGGTTGTGCTGTTCTGTTGTAAACAGATCTTAACAATGATTCCTAATTGCATCTACTTCCGGAAGGCCAAATAAAGTGGTTTTGCTTTCGCACAGAAACGCACAGCATCTCCCTGACATGGCTGCATCAACACTACTGTGGTTCCTGAAACCACGCCGCCTTTCTTTGCATGCACATTTGGGCGGTATTACGCAAATATTTCCACATAGTGACGTAGAGATGTGGGGGCGTGTTTGAACGAGGCGTTTTAGCCCGGTCTGGATCAGCCTTCTCTTTTAGATAGAATAAATCCTTTTGTGGGAGACTTTGAGCTTTGTAACTCTGCAGATCTTATACATGCACAAATAGCTACATAACACACTAAAGAAAAGGAAAAATAGAAATCGCATCATATGACCCCTTTAATATATTTTTAAAATGTAATATTCCTGTTAAGGCAAAAGCTGAATTTTCAGCAGCCATAACTATAGACTTCAGTGTCACATGATCCTTCAGAAATCAATCTAATATGCTGATTTGGTGCTCAAGAAATTTCTTTTTATAAAAACATTGAAAACATTTTAATATTGCTTAATATGTTTCTAAAAATCATATGTTTTTCAGGATTTTGTATAAATATAAACGTAAAAAGAATTCAAAAGAACAGCATTTATTTGTAAATGTCTGTATTGTCATTTTGATCTATAAAAAAAAAAAGACTTGCACAAATAGTGACGTGATGTGTAATTCCCATACTTGGAATTTGTGCTCTGCATTTTACCCAACCAAGTGCACACACACACACACACACCATGAACACACACCCGGAGCAGTGGGCAGCCATCTCTCTCTAACCATTAGGCCACAGCTGCCCATCTATTTAATGCATCTTTGTTGGATAAAAGTATTCATTTAAAAATAATAATAATCAAACTGACCCCAAACCTGTTACCCATTTTGTCATTAAATTACCAGCAAAAATAACTATATTTTGAATTTTACTGTGATATTGGTTTTGGTCCATGTTGTTAAGTCTTACTTCATTTTCATTTTGTCTAATAACAGGCCTGGATTTCCCACGCCGGCCCTCGTGGCATTACAACATGCAGCGAGAGGAGTTGCTGCGGAAAGAGGAGAAGTCATTTCTGGAGTATCTGGAGGCTCTTAACTCCAAAAACCCACCCGGTACCCTCAGCCACTTTGAGCACAATCTCGAGGTGAGGCATGTTCTGTTTGAAAACACCACACAACTGAAGTACTTTAAAAAATAATTTTTATCAGCAACCAGAATTTGATTGCTGCTGAGTCAATAGCTGTAATGAAATAGCTTTTTTTTATTGCGCTTGAGCATCTGTTTGGCCAGACAGTGCTGGAGGCAAACACTGTTAAGTGTTCAAATTCACTGGTTTATGAGCCATTGCTTTTCTCAAGCTATGTGACACACAAAACTGTTGTAGTGTGAAAACAACGGCGATCCGACGAGTTTGAAAATCGTGCAGTGTGAACTCGGCATAAGTGCAAAAGGAGCAACACTTTTTCAACAGTTAAAATGTATAACACTAATTAGTATGCATATTTGGTTTATTAAAAGAGGTTTTATGATTCCTTATTTGTTTTTAAAAGCCTTCAGACAACAGAAACACCGCAATATTGTGCAGATAATTTTAAGACAAACAAGCTTTGTCTCTAAGAACTCATAAACGTGCATCTAAATGTTTCAACCACTTAGCTGAGCAGAGCATTGGATCACAGTGAATTCATTGTTTTTAACAGTCTCTAATTGTCAGATAGTTTTGGATTAATGTAGCAAAGAAGACCATAAAATGCCTGAGCCAAAAACCTCTCAAGTCATTATTTTATTTTACCTAAAGTGGGCCAAAGGACTACAAACAAGTTGGCTAATCCGAAAGAATGTGAATAACAGATTAAGGGTTCATTACTGAAATTCAGACAGCCTGAATAACAACTGTATAAAAATTCACTTTTTGTTTTTTCTTTTCTACTACTGACCGACTGACTCTCTTTCTTTCTCAGACATGGAGGCAGCTGTGGAGAGTAATGGAGATGTCTGATGTCATTCTCCTCATAGTGGATATCAGACACACAGTGAGTGTGCGACTGTGACGCCTGTTGAAACTTTTAGCAGTTTTCAAAAGATCATCAAAATTGCATAGGCATTACTCTAAATGTGGGAGTGTCAAATTATGCAAACTGAAGTAATAAAATCTCCACTAGGTGGGGCCAGAGATTATATTACATTTATTCTCAGAAAACAGCACTTTTTGTGTTGCGTTATACATTTTGAGCAAAAGAAGGATGGTGTGGAAGACACAGTGTAGCATCTTTGCCATTCAGTACAAGCAAACATTATCACTCTGTCTGCAGGTGCTGCACTTTCCTCCTGCTCTGTATCACTACATCACTGGTGAGTTAAAGAAGTACATCATCCTGGTGCTCAATAAGGTGGACTTGTGTCCCGCCCCGCTGGTTTTGGCATGGAAACACTACCTGACTAAACAGTTCCCACACCTGCACTGTGTCTGCTTCACCTCGCACCCAGGACAACCCTACAGAACGCGTGAGAGAGTCTTTCCAGTATCAGTGTTTTATCTATAATATGACCGAACAAAATAGACAAGAATAAAAGTGTGACCTTCATCTGTACTCTCTGCAGTTCTACAGAAGAAAAGGATGAGGAAGAAAGCAGGATGGAATCAGGCTGGAGGACCTTTTCACATCATGAGGGCATGTCAGGAGATCACGGCAGGAAGAGGTTAGACAACTTCCTCCTAGACAACAAAATATCAGCACTGGAAAACAAAGGGGAGTATTAAATGATGATGATGATGGTTGTTGTTTATAGTGGATTTGAGTAGCTGGGAGAAGAAGATCCAGAGGGATGCTGTTGCTGTGGGAACAGAGGGGGATCAAGCTGATGATGGATCGGAATCTGTGTTGATGGAGCATCATAGTGATGTTGCCATGGAAATGAACAGCCCCACGCAAGAACTTTATAAAGATGGAGTACTAACATTGGGCTGCATAGGTAAAAGCCTGAGGTTAAAGTCACTATGAAATCAAAACTGACACTATTTTTAAGGCATATTGCAGTGTTTATTATATAAATGATTTAATTGTGCACATCATTATTTAAAAAAAAACTAATGTACCTTCATAATCTTTAATCAAAAACATTAACATTCCCGTTGCCTTGCAAAGACATCTCCTCTCCCATGATGACAAACACTACAACATCTATTTTCTCATGACATGCATTGGCACGAGGTTGCCTCATAGCAACCTGTCAGTCACATGAAAAAGCATAATTTAGCCAATAACAACGATGAACAAAATCAAGTCACGATCTACGTTTTTTTCCCATTCAAGAAGCAATTTCACTCGAATATATGTCAAAACAGAGAAGAAAAGATTATCATAATGTCCAGTTCATGCTAAAACTGAACAAGTATTGTTGTTCTACATCAATATCAGTTACATATATCTTATTTGAAGTATATTCTCCTTGATGTGTACATTTAAATTCATTATTTAGTTTAAAATTCATATGGAGTCTTTTGGCACTTTCTCCAGGTTTTCCTAATGTAGGCAAATCTTCAGTGCTAAACAGTCTGGTCGGCAGGAAGGTCGTGAGCGTGTCTCGAACCCCAGGTCACACTAAATATTTCCAAACATACTACCTCACTCCCACTGTTAAACTGTGTGATTGTCCTGGGCTTGTCTTCCCTTCCCAAGTGGACAAGCAGCTACAGGTAAAACCAGCATGATTCTGTATCATTTATGAAAGTTAAGTCATCCAGTCTGTGTTTTGTTTATGTGTGTGTGTGTTTTATTTATCTTCTCAAACAGATCCTGGCTGGTATATATCCAGTGTCCCAGCTGCAGGAGCCTTACAGTTCAGTAGGATACTTGTGTGAACGGACCAACTTCCTGTCTGTGTTAAAGCTGACACATCCTGACCACAGCCCAGGAACCCCACAAGACCCCAAAACACAGGACTGGACAGCATGGGACGTGTGTGAAGGTGCCTGTCCTGTTTTCATATGGCGTCATTCATTTCATATTTAACACATATTCAACTGGAGGGAGAAATTGGAGAGCTGAAGTTGTTTTTATTGGTTTATCAATAGTCACATCTGTTTTTCTTTCTTTTTTTTAGCCTGGGCCGAGAGGAGAGGGTATAAAACTGCTAAGGCGGCCCGTAACGATGTCTATAGAGCAGCCAACAGTCTCCTGCGTTTGGCCATCGACGGACGGCTGTGCCTATGTCTGCGACCACCTGGATACGTTCAGAGTAAAGGTCAGAGGTCAAACCACTATCGTTCATGTCACCTGCCACTCATGACCAGATTTGATGTGGAATTTCTATGTCCTCAGAATATTGTAGCACTAACATGTTTTTGGTTTGCCCAATTTTTTATGTCATTTTTAATAGGGCAAACTTGGAAAGACTTGTTTTGTAAGATGGACCCCAAAAAAACTTTTTATAACTCTTTATTATATTGTTGAATGTTTCATCTGTATCTGCCATGTAATAACCTTTGAAGCTATAGCAATATGTTTAAATACAATAACTGTTTCTTCAGATGAATGGGAATCACACCCAGACCTGGCCGAGATCATTGCTCTACAAGGAAGGAAGGAAGAAGAGGATGAGTGTGGTGACAGGGAAGACGACGAGGACGAATCCAGTTCCGAGCTGGAGGAGGACAACGATCGGGATGCCGACGATGATGAGGATGCTGATGGAGATGATGAAGATGATACCGTGAAGGCTGACAGGAAGGGCCTCACTCTCAACATGTTCAGTGTGCTGGGAGAGAACGAGTGTGAGTGAGGGATGAGATCCATGTTCATGCATTCCAGTTTCTTTATTTATCATTGATCTCTTTATGACCATCTCATTTCAATCTGCAACGTGTCAATCAAAGGACTGTATAAAGTTTTGAATTTAAACGCTACGCATTTATTTAGCATTTGACTCGTTGCGAACTTATACAGCCCATTGTATAGACAACACACTCCCCATTCTACCTATTTTTGCTGGTTTTGTGTTCTATTTTTCAGCCTCTCTGTGCCTCTGTACCTTCCCTGCTTTTCATTTATCATCATCGGAAATGTATCAAAATGTTTGGAAAACTTTTGTACCTCCTGCATGCAGCCTTTTCCCTTTTTGAGAGGGCAGAAGGAATGTCTGTACAACCAGTGATTGTGCAATTAGTGTTAAAAAAAACAAACACTGATGAATACAATTGCTGATTTATCATCAATCTCAAAGCAGTGATGCCAAAGGTCAGGTGAGGTCAAAGGTCGCTGCTTTGACCTCAAACTGAGTTGCCCATGTGAATGTATTTTACCCTCAGTCTCAGTACCATAAACCTCTGTATGCAGGGCAGAACCAGCCGTGTTTGAGGAATAGAGATAGAGGCCAGGGACAGGCTGTTGACTTTAGAAGATTGTTCTGATAAAAAGATGTTATGGACACTTAAAGCACTTTTTAAAGCAACCAGCAGTCTTTTATTGTTGAATACTTTAATTTCTGAGCAGATATATACGTTTATAATGCGGACAATGGAGTGAAGGTGTTGTTTAGAGTTGCGGTGGGAGTGATGTTCTAGACTATGCAAAGTTTACAGAGACATCAGAAAAACCTGAAAGAAGTGTTCCAGTTATAGAAGTGAGATTGTGTAACACATTGTACATGCACACTAACACAAGCCACTCGAAGATTTTGGAGTCATGTTGTTTTGGACTAAAAAGTGCATTTGTTAGAGAGTGGGTTGGTTTTGAAGAACTCAAGTTTGTGCACGTTTGCTATAGGACTCAGGTAACAGTGATGATGTGCAGAGATACCGATACAAGGGTGCTGGTTTCCTGCTTTTCAGCCTCCAGTCCTGCATGCCCTTGCTTAGGGATTTCATGTGGGTGTGTCTTTGTTCGTGTGGGTGTGATAGTGTGTGGATCATTCTTTCTTTATTAAAATTTTATTATACTGACAGAAACAGCCCTCTGCAATAAAAATGTTCCCTTGACTCTTAGCCATCATTATTCTTGCACAAGAGGACACAGCTATTAATGTCTTTACAAACAGTATGTCAGAATGTAATTAAAAGTATAATGTAGGCATACATAAATTAGGTAAACATCAAAAAGGTAACATCTGGACTGGAAATGTATACTTTCTAAAATTAGAATTAGAAGAGCAAATTAACATCTTATAAACCAATCACAAAAAAGTCTCACTGGAAAAGAGTGACATTATGCAGAAAAATTAGAGATATACTGTAACATGCATTTACAAAACAAATAAAGTTAATTTTCATTTTATGCCTACTTTAACCCTATAAAGCTCTCTGTATCATATTTGATACACAAATTTCTAAGGCCTCTAAATTATCAACATGATCAGAACTGCTGAAAACCTGTTGTACACAATCTAGCAAGCAAAAGGCATTTTAGTGTAATTCTAAAAACTTCAGGGTGATGGTTCATGTTGTACATGTCTTTT